AAATAATAAAATAAATAAAAATTAAAAAATAAGAAGAAATAATTAAATAAAAAGTGATAAAAAAGTTTTCAAAAAAATTAAAAACAGTAAAAAAAAGTTGACGCTATACCCGCCACCCTGCCATCTGGTTGCCATTCTCCATTGATGGGAAGGGGGGGGGGGTTGGGGTACCTAGCCTTGGGGCGGCAGTAAGAGTAAATCCGGCCCTGTGCATGCAACCCAGAGACTGGGACCCGCGCATGCGCAGTAGCGCACGAACTCCCGGCTATGGCCTTACAGAGAGGTTCTTTCCCACTGGAGATTCTCAGTACACATAATATTTTTTTTAAATGTTGCCATAAGTACTTGCAGTCTTCGTAATAAGTACATGTATCTTCATAAGTAGATCATTCAAGTGCTCCATTGAAGACCTTAGTCACCTTTAAAAAATGATCCTTGACTTTACCCTCCAGTTAGGGTTTGTTCAGTTAAAAATAACTCTGACATTTTTACCACACCCAGTGGTATTTACCCAGTTGAATAACTTTAAATGTGGTTTACTGCACTGCATTTATCACTTAACATTCTAATTTTTTTTAACATCATTCATTTTTTACCAAGATTATTTTAGTAACTCTTTATTTTTGTAATTAGCTGGTTTCCATTAGTATTATTAGTGAAATAATTAGAAATGTTTATATAGAATTACTGTGATTATTATACTAAACTTCTTAAACTAGTTAGACATGTTTTCCTTCTATAGTTCTATTCAATATGCTAGGAATGCATGCACATAAAAGGTAGAATTATCTCCTCTGGGGTAGACACCAAACCTTGTGCAATTCATTGCAGTGTTCAGAAGTCTACAACATTTATTTGTAGTTTAAAAACACTGCATGAACATCACAAATTATCTGAACAGAGATGGACCTACATCTAAAACTGGGACTTCTGCTGGCATTGACCACTTCTACCATTGCAGGTAAAATTCAGTATTTATCCTTTATGAGAACATTTCAAAGACAGTATAAAAAGCTGTGGTTTTATGTACATTTATGTGTTAATGGAATCACTGGCCTGTTATTGATAATTGTAACTGGAAATATAGATTTAACATTTGTTTAAGTATCTGCAGTTTAAATAAAAGTACACCAAAATCTCAACACAAGGATAAGTATCTTTATTTTCATGAAAATTAAACTTTTAAATCTCAACTAAAAAATGTCAGTCACTGTTATGAAAATAAGAATCCTTGTGTGTTAGGTTTGTGAATGGAGCATAATTTTTATGCTGAATTTTACTAGATTACAGAAATTAGCAGTTTATTTTAGCTACATATTTAAAAAAGCATGATGTTGATCACAAATAAGCTGGCTTCATACTTTAATAGTGACCAGTGTTATCCATTTTAGCACATTCAGAATACTAATACTAATGTGTAGGTAAGCATTTGTTCTGATGCTACTTAATGTAAGGGGTTAGTTTAACATTATTTCTTGTAAACTACAATATATGATGATGATTATTTTTTATAATCGATATAATTGTAAAGGTACAGTTATAGATTATAGTTAGATTATTTAATCGACCATAATACAAACTAATACCTAACTGGGAAGCATGTTAAAGGATGCATTTTTGATAACTACTTTTCTGCCTGTTTAATAGGTTGTATAGATAGACAACAGTAACAGGGTTATTCACAAAAGGGTGAAGAGTTTGGAGAAGGCAGGAGAAGTGAACAATCTAGGACAGGGGTAGGCAACCTTGACACTCCAGCTGTTGTGGAACTACAAGTCCCATGAGGCATTGCAAGGCTCTGACAGCCACAGACATAACTCCCAGAGGCAGATGCATGTTGGGATTTGTAGTTTTGGCACAGCTGGAGTGCCAAGGTTGCCTACCCCTGATCTAGGACAACATATCTCAACTGGAAAGTGAGCTGAATTGGAGAATGTTTCCAGTTCAGCTATGTTGTTCTAGATTGTTCACTTCTCCTGCCTTCTCCAAACTCTTCACCCTTGTATGAATAACACTGTAAGATTTTAGCATCATACTAACACCACTGAATTTACTGTTTTTAGTACTTTTAATGTGTTGCTGTAAGTAATTTAGCTATTAAAGAGTTTAGCATGGGGTCAACCTTAGGTAACCCATAAAAAGCTTCAGTTTTTAGTACTCTTTTAAAGCGTCGCCTGTGTCCAATTTTAGGTGCGGTCGTTTTCTGCAATTTCGCAGAAATTATAAAGCTTGACATGTTTGGTGTCCATTTACCCCACATGACCCCGTATTTTATATTTTACCATAATTGGAGTGATAATTAATGTTTCAGAACATTTTATAGGGTTTTTTTTACAAAATTTAGGGTACTTTTTTGTTATGTAGTAAAAAATAAAACCCCCAGTGCTGATTAAATACCACTAAAAGAAAGCTCTATGTGTCCCCAACAAAATGGTATAAAAATTGTTTCAGTACAGCGTTGCATGACGGAATAAATGTCAGTCAAAGTACCACAGTGCTGAACACTGAAAAATGGCCTGTCCAGGAAGGGGGTGAAACACCCTGGTCTTTAAGTGGTTAAATGGTTTGTCTCAACTAACTATCTGCCACTTTTTCTGGACAGTTTGGTGTGTTAAAGAAAGTTTAAAAAAAATAACAGATTTATTGGCCGGATTACCAGGTGAAAATAAGGGAAAAAAGCTTTAAAAAGAAAACTAATGCAGCCACCACATTTAAGGATTGGTAAGCTGCTATATATTACATTTTTACTTTAACTATAATGTTTTCCTGACTAATGGAAGACTTTTTACTATTATGGAAATGATTGCATAGGGCTTGTAAGCTAGAAGTGTCTCCACCTGGTAATTATTAAGGACGCCATAAAAATAATTAGGGAAGGCTCCATGCCCATGGTGAGGATTTCAGTGGTATAATGGCTGCTGAAAAAACACAGCTATTGAGAGGTGATATCTAGTTAACCAATTACTATTCCAGCGCTGTTGAAGTCAAGAAATACTTCCCTTAGAAAACGATGGCTCTTGAAAAGAAGTATGATTTGGATTTTACTGGATTTGGATTTGGAAAAAGCATAGGAGATCCTAGGATTTCCTTACTTCTCTGGACAGTTGTTTACATAGGGTCCCTTCCTAGTAAAATACAGGCGTAGGATCTTGGTTTGCATTCTTCTAGGGACAAAGGTACTTTGATTGTGAAAATGTGGGAGAGACTCACCCTTTATGTAAGAATAAGCCTATGGCAGATCCACGACTCCAGCACGTGTTGGAGTCGCTGGAGAATATTTTAGAAAGGTGTGCGATACCATCCAGTATGTACAGTCGACCCCCGCAAAGTCGCGGTTCAGAGTTCGCTGCCTTAGTCATTCGCTGATTTTTCCCATATAGGGGTAACATCTGTATTTTACATTCTAGCACTGCGGGGGACATAGCAGTACAGTACTGTACAGTATACGGGTTTACCTTTACATTTTTTATTTTTTTTAAGGGTAATGTATTAAGCTGAGTTTGAAATTAAATTAAGGTGTTTTGAGGGCATATTTAGGGTTTAAACTATAAAAATAGGCATCTTATTGACCACATTCAAAATTCGCGATTTTTTACAATTCGCGGGTGCTCTATGAAGGTAACCACCATGAATTTCAAGGGTCGACTGTATTATGTATCCATTTTCCTGGTCGAAAGCATAATCTTCCGTGAAGGGGATGGTTAAGTCATTCTCTAAGCTTTAGGGGTTGGGTCTACAAAAGGATGTGGATTTCCATCTAAAAGGGAAGTTTGTTGGCATTGTTTGGCAAGTATATCTGGAGTCAAATTGAGGATATACTATTCGAAATAGTTTATTTTCAGGTTCAGGGTATACCAAAGGCTCTGAATAAGTTGGGCAATGTCTTTAGCAGTGATGTCAGGAAAAATTATAAATCATCTGTGAACACTGCAAATTTGTATGATGTGTGTAGGAGAAAAGAGCCGCTAGACAATTGCTGCTTTAGGAGACCCACTGTCGAAATGAATCTGTTCTTCAGGATGCTTGTGACGTTCTTGTAGAGGCTGCTCCCACATAAACAGGGACACCCCAGACTAGACAGGGGGGACCAAGGTAGATTCAAATGGAAAAAGGACAGATGGGGCGCCACCACAATTTGAGTCTATAACAATATTTTATTTTAAAAAAGGTCAGTTTGGTGAAATAGCCAACATGTTTCGGGGGTTCACACAATCCCCCTTCATCAGGGCAAAAAAGAAAAATAAAGATATTCAAATAAATATGCACAATTGGTAGCTATAGTAAATAATAAATGTTACTAATAATAATTTTAACTTAAAACCTAATTTTATAAATTAATATCATAGAAAATAATATAAATTAATATTTTACTCTAAACCACATAATATAAATTGATATTATAGAAAGTACTATAT